GGTACCTGTGGATGATCCTAAGAGACCAAGTCTGAAGAGACAGTCCCCAGGCAGAGTAGGCCTTATATTTATACCTCTGTGGTGGAACCTGCTAGAACATCTTGCTTACTCAGCCTAGTCAGGTGATCAGGTCATATGACCAAGGATGAGGTCATATGAGGTCATGCACAGCCATGCACAGCAGGTCACCTGACCATCCAATCCTTCCAGCAGGTTCCAGCACATGCCAAGGTATACCAGCTACTTCCATGTCATAAAGGCTTAGTCATATCTCTTGACCAAGCAATGAGCTGGTGCCCTGACACACCAGGAAGCACTTGTTGAACATCAAGGAGCTGAGAGAGAAGCTGAGAGATTTCCATAAGAGTAGATAGATGATGGTGTTAATGCAGGAAGATAATATCAGTGATGTGTTGTGTGGATATGAAACAAAAATTAATTAATTAGTAATATTAATAATAAAACTATCTACCAGATTTGTGCCAAGGATCTGGCTGGAGAACCGGCCAGACCCTTGCACAGCTGAGGCCAGAATCCGGAATACAGATATCTATCCAAATTATGGATTCTGGATTGCGTGTCCTGAAACCTGGATGTACTGACCCTTGTATCTTGACATGCAGCAGACAAGCCCTGGATCCTGGATGCAGGGAAGCAAATACGGAAGCATTGTATTTCTGTTTCTGTGGGAAACAAATTTGTTGCTCCCATGGAGCCGGATGGCTGTGTTGCAGACCCTTCACTGTAGCACAGCCACAACAGCAGGACTTTACAATTTTGGAAAAAGCCCGGATTCGACCGAAATCCAATGCCGATGGTCCCTGACCAGCAAAAGCTATGGGCAGAAGCCGTTTGTGGACAGCCGGGACCCCTTATCAGGCGACCAACCTAGCTGTCCGCAAACGTCCACCATACAGAACTGTATTCAAGTTACTCTGTCAATGCATCTGCTCCTGCTCACGACGTTGATCGGCCGCACATGCATGCATGAACAAACTGTACAGTGCTCTTTGAAGAACATGTATAAGCAAACCAGATCAGAGCCAGCTCGACCCTCGGTCAGAAGCAATGCAGCATCGATCCTTCCTTGGTGAATTGGTACGGGTGTAGCGATCAGTTGATTTATATTCATAGGGTTTTAGCATGTCACCGCTGAGCTCGGACATGGTGTAAGAACAGACTTGTTCATTCAAGCTTTCCTACAAGTACCTGGAGAGTGAGAGCCGCCACAATATCCTCCCCTACTACACATTTGTCAAGCGTCCGCGGCCAAAATCATGGGTCAATTCTTTTCAAATTTCTACCCTCCCAAGACGAATTGGCTCCCAGACCAAATACCGGACCAGACGGGAAAGGTCGCTATCGTTACCGTGAGCCCTCTCCACTGCGATGCTTGACCGAGCTCACCGGATTCCAGGGTGGGAATACTGGTGTGCCACAGTCTTTGTACCGTTGAGCCTGCTCATCTTCCCTTGAGGTATTGGCTTTGCAACATGTCGTGTACGTCTCCCTTCTCGTGCTTCACAGACCCCGCTCACTCACCCCAGCATCTGCTCGAACACAATACCCGCGTCTACCTCGCTGCACGCTCTCCCGCCAAAGCAGAGGAAGCGATTCAGCACTTGAAAGACCTCACAAAGAAGGAAGACATACATTTCCTGCAGCTTGATCTTGCCGATCTACCCACTGTGAAGAAGGCGGTAGATGAATTCAGGACGAAGGAAAAGAGGCTCGATATGTTGTTCAACTCCGGGTGCGTCTCGATCCCCCTGGATGCTGGAGCAGGGTAGCTGACGGTGACTTATATGATGCAGAGGGGTGATGCTCCCTCCTAAATCGATGTTGACTGCGCAAGGGTATGACCTGCAATTCGGCACCAACACTCTCGGACATGGAGTGTTCACCTTCTTCCTTCTTCCGGTCCTGCTAGAGACCGCCAAGGAGACGGGCGACGTTCGAGTCGTGAACACCAGCTCGGTCGCACATGATTTCGCCCCGAAAGGAGGGATTGTCTGGGATCAGGTTAAGGATGGACCAGCGAGGGAAAAGGCGTGGAACTATTGGGAGGCATATGCATCGTCTAAGTTCGTACGTCCCGCGCCCTTTGCCCTTTCTTTTAACCCAGCTGATAGAGCAGGGCAGGGCAACGTCCTCTTTTCCAAAGATGGAAAAGAGCTTGTCAGACGCTACGCCGATGAGGGGATCGTCAGCATCTCCCTGAACCCGGGTGCAATCCGTACGGACCTCCAAAGGTATCTGAAGAGCAAGCCTGTACAGGCCTGGATTATGGTTCGTCTGCTTCTTGCTTACGTAGCGACAGCTGAATTAGCTGTGTAGGACAAGTTGCTATATCCTCTGGAGCCTTATGGGCCATTGACCCAACTGTACGCAGGCACAGCACCAGAAGCGAAGTCCTTGAGCGGAAAGGTATAGCCTTTCGCTAACATCAAGAGGTAGTCACTGACAAGTGGTAGTATCTCATCCCCTGGGCGAGAGTGGGCGTCGAAGGACCAGACACAGGCGATGTAGAGCAAGCGAAGAAGCTTTGGGCGCTTATCGAGGAAGAAGCTGGGAAGCTGTAGCCGGCCGGAAGGGTGAGCCTAGGTCTTCGCAATTGGTCTATTACAGCTATTCTAAGACGATGGGATAGTATGGTACAGATATGTTAATCCAGAGGGTGGAAGTGGAAGGATGGATGAAGTCAAGAATAAAATAGACTTCAGTGAGATTTCGCCCGCGAGAATCGCACCGCACCGCACTGCCCACCTGCCGCAACATATGGGCATGCATATGCATACGCGCGATCACAAGCCCTTCACCTCGCCCTCGATATACTCCCAGAGTCTTTTCCCTGCGGCTTCATCTTTTGTATCTGCACGAGGGGTGGACTTGCGCGCCCAAGGAACGTAGTACCCGCCGTTTTGTTCCGCCACTTCCGGTGCGGTTCCTGCGTACAACATCGTCACTGCGCCTAGGGGGTCGACCTCCATGCCGAAGGCGTACTGTACCGCCGCATGAGATCAGAACATTCATCTTCTCGAAATGATTGAAAAACGTACAGCGGCCCAAGCGCCAATGCCCTCCGCATACCGGAACAACTCTGTCCGGATAAGACCCGGATTAAGCGAGCTAGAGATGATGCCATATTGCCCGTATCGCCGCGCGAGTTCGTTTGCGAAGAGGACGTTGCCCCACTTTGAACCAGAATAGGCGATCATAGGTGTGAGCTGCTTTGTGCGGTACTCGCTATCTTTGAGTGTGCGGTAGTCGAACCCTCCCGTCGGGGCACCGAGGTGCAGACTAAGAAAGAGCATTAGTCTCTCTAGACCCGAGCAGGAAAGTTAAGGTTGGGCACGTACTTGGAGCTGGTGGTCACTACGCGGACGGTGCCCTCTGGGCAAGCCTTCGCAGTGGCAATCAAGGTCGGAATCAACAGCATGGTCAAGTAAGCATGACCTAGTCCCTCATGAGCGCTTGTTTGCACAGCTGGATCGAAGCGCATTACCGAGAACGTTAGTCCCGAACTGCATGTCATATCCTTGCTTTGTAAGTTGATCGACAGGGCACACCATGACACCTGCCGAGTTGAAGAGAATATGCAGCTGGCTTTCCTTCTTCATGAACTCCTCAGCACATTTCTTGATGCTTGGCAGGTCGGCAAGATTGCATTGAATGAAGTGGGCCTTGTCACTCCGGGTGAGCACCTTCAGCTTCGCAATCGCCTCTTCTGCCTTTTTTTGTGACCGACATGCCAGATATACAGTCGCACCTTTGAGCAGAAGGTATTTGCAAGCAACGAACCCGATACCAGCGTTGCCGCCCTGATATCGGAAAGTCAGCCGAAGCGGGTGATAACGCCCAGTCAGTACGTACCGTAACGATAATGACTTTGTCGGTGAGATCTGGCATGTTCTCAGGTAAAAACTTAGCTTGGGGCGGCCATATTTCAGACCCAGTTGTAAGAACGCGAAGAACTTGTCCCATTGTTGATTAGGTATTAGAGATGAGAATTAAATGTTGAGTAAATAGTCGTAATGCGGCGACAGGTGAGTGGACGAGCAAGCTCGGAGCTGCAGGATCGCCAGCCGATAGCACCCTCCTTGACTTTAATAGATGGATCTGCTTCACCGAAGTCCATGGCGGTGAGGGTGCAACGGGCAGGCATATCAGAGCGTCATAGTCGGGAAGGAGGTGGATAGCCGACAGAAACAAAGATTGTGGATTCCCATTCATGCAGATGTTACCGGAAGATGATTCATTGGAATCGGATGGGCTCAGGAACCGCAGAGGTCACATGTATACCGGTTCCAAGTACTCGCTAGCGACTGTCGTGCATATCTTGCATAGAATCAGAAGTTCAGATCCGTAGCGCAGGTGCGTGGGAATGGTTAGACAGCACCAGTCATGGAACGAAGAACATGACGTTGAGGGGGCCCGGCGGCAGGGGCGAGAACATTGATCTTGAGAGGATAGGATGGGTGACCTTGATGATAACCTTCCTCTTACAGAGATGAAGCAAGGTGGTGTTGTGTAACTCGGAATTGAGGATGCTTGACGGTAACCCACGAGTGCCCCGCATCGCGTCTGTGATGGCAGAAGATAGAACCATCAGTGTTTCCTATATCAATGAAGAGTCTTCTGAGGGCACTCATAGACAGCGCATCGAGTAACCAAGTGACAGGAGCCATGATCGGAAAAAGTTGTCGCTTATTGGTTGTAGTCATGAAGATGAGGAGCGCTGATAGGTGACATTAAGATCACGCAGATATCTTAAGTACTGAAGAATGATGTGTTGGAATTCGGGCTGAAAATTCCAACCTGTCAGAATTTGGGGGATCCTGCCCGAGCAGCAGCGGGCACACAGCGGATAAGCACTCTGAAGCGGAGACATCCCATCAGGCCCTTGGGATTTTAAGACCAACTGTGCTTGTGCGCGTGGTGGAGTTCGCTAGTCCAATATTCTAGAGGCGACGATGATGGGCCACAGATCCTACAGTATAACGCACTAGGGGGGAGTCAGGGTCTTGACAAAAGTAGCATAGGTACGATTGTTAGTGTAGACAGTCCTTCAAGGACTGTCCTTGTAATAAGTATTTAATCTCCGCTAATAAAAATAGTCCCGCAGGACCCTTAAAAAAGTATCCGTGAAGGGACACAACTCTGGCGGGACCACATTAGTCCCTATCCGCTGATGTTCAGCCACTCAGGGTTGCATGTGCAGGCCTCATTGTCTCCACATCTTTGGACTCTACCATGATGTAGAGTCCTCCCTCACCACTGTTGACCATCTCCTCCTCCTCTCCCAATACTGTCAGCCTCAGCAACCCACCTCTCCCTCTACTTCCTCAACCTGTAGGACCCTCCCAGGAGGGTCATCAGGAAGAGTAACTGAGGTGAGCTCCTACAAAGGCAGCCATCACTGGCACCTGAGTAGTGTCCCCCCCCTCTTGACTAAACTTGTGTTTTCTGGCACCAGGTGCCCACTGTCAGCATTGAAGAAACTCAAGCCCAGGAGAAGCAAGAAGACTTCTCTTCTTGATTACCATATGTAAGCATGCTTCATTTTGGGCCTCCAATGAACATTACTAATTTTGCATAGATGCCTTTTGCTACCTATGAGAGTGGCCTTCACCACATGCTCCGTCTCCCCTCCGAATATGCCCCCAAGCTACTGAGAGGGCTCCCAGAGCCTGTGAGGGTAGAGGATACAGCCCCAGGTGAGTTCTAATGATGTTCCATTTCACAGAATATCTAACTAACTATCTAAACAGCTATGCATCCCCCCAACTTCATGGGGACTTTGCACATTTCAATATTCAAGCTTGAGAAGTGCTACCTCATGCACTATACTAGTGTGGAGCCCAGCCTTCTCAAGCAAGATGTGGAATCAAACCCAAAGAGTCATTTTTCAGTCGAGTACTGTGACCGAAGACTCTTCAAAGGATCCACTAAGCACTTTGACTCGATGTCTGACAAGGAACATTGTGCTTGGTAGATTGACTTCAAGACTTGATTCTGCCAATTTTACCGTGATGAAGGCAATTGTGAGATTGCCTTTGATCCACAAGTGTATTTGAGGTGCCTTTGGGCATGCAGCAAGCTTGACTACACCATCTATGCCCAGCCATTCAACCCCTCCCACCCCCATTGAGTCTACTGTGAGGGACCCCTGCTGATGCTGAGAATGCCAATGCCTGGTGGGCATATCTCAACATGCAGATGTGGATGCCCTATATCCACCCCTCCAACTGTGTGGTAGGCATACCCCTTGGTGATGAGTACTACTCAAAACCAGGGGTATGGGAGAAATCCCCAGCCAGTCAAGAGCTTGAACAGCTCTTTGACAATGCCACACTGACTGTCATCAATGCCTGGTGGGCTCAGACACTCATTCGCGCCCACCAGCACTTCCTCCTCCTCTCTGTCTTCAAACTCAGCAACCTCCCCCCCTCCCATCCCCTCCTGCAGTTGTACAACTTCAACACACTGGAGAAGACTTGGGCAGGTGATTTTGCACAAGAGCAAATTGACCTGTTCATGCCAATGCCCCAAGCCTATGCCCATGTCCTCTGGGTGCATGCACAGGCCAAGGTGAGAGATCTCCTTGGCCTGTGCAACATGCTCCTTGCCTGGCACACTTGAAAGCCCTTGTTGCCCTCGAACCTCCCCACCCTCTACAACTACACTAGTGTATGCACAGGAAACATTCCTCATGTGTACATTGAGCAATATCAACTGGATGGCATCTCCATCCTCAAACCCCTCCTCTGGGAGGACATCCTCAAAAAGGACCCCAAGGCGAACTTGCCTTGGAAGGACTTGAACAAGTCCAAGGTCTGGATCGAGATGGAGCATAAATGCATCCATGATCAGCATGTCACAGCAGGGGGTGCTCCTTTCCCTTGGGAAAGGAACAAGATCCACCCCTCTGCAAAGACTTGTGAGGAACAGTGATCTGCCAACACTGCCAATCCACAGATGCACACTAAGGGCAAGAAGAAGGCCACTGACACCCTTGAACAACTCCAGGGCAATGAGCTCTTTGCCAAGGCTGCCATCCTCCACCAACCTTTTTATGGCAAGGTTCGAACTCGCATCAAGCTCCTCAATGTTGCCAACCCCAAGTTTGAAGCTGGAGCTCTTGGAGTTGAGAGAAGGGGGCATCTCCTCAAAGGAGAAGAGCCCCCTGACATTGACTATGAGGGGCAGCAACTCCAGACTACCCTGGATGCCATTCCATTTGTGTGGACACAGTTTGCCTGGAGAAGCTCAGCTTGAAGCAACCCCAGCCTCTGCCTCAGCCTCTGCCCCTCAGCCCCAGCCTCAGCCCCAGCCTCAGCCCAACCACTCACACTTGAGGCATTCAAAGATGATACCCATCCTTATGTTTGGGATTCAACGTCTGACTACAGGGCGTTGAATGAACCCATTCCCCCTTCTTGCATGCTTGGCAAGACAAGGTGGACTGAGGAGGACTGGGAGAAAGTGGAAGAGATGTGGAGGCAGTGGATGGAGGAGTTCAACTGCCCTGCTCCTCCCGTATTCAACCACCCCCTCTCTCCACTCTGGGGGATCACTCAATCTTGCGAGCACACTCCCCCTCCTCCTCCTCCTCCTCACCAACCTACTCCTCCTCCTCCCCCTCCTCACAAATGCACTCCTCCCCCTCCTCATGAATGCACTCCTCCCCCTCCTTGCCCTCCCCACAATAATGTGTACTCCTGGTCAAACCCAGAGCACTGTAAACTCATTATGGCAAAGCACTGGGGAGGAGCTGTGGTTGAGAAGGTGCCAGAGCCTGTCAAGGAGATGACCAAAATGGACATTGGCATTGCAGCCTCTGAAGAGCTTCTCACAAAGCTCAACAGGGCTTTGGGTGAATAGGAAGCCTAAGCCTTCTTTTATTTATGTAAGTTTTATTTTCAAACATGTATGATAAATTAACTAATTACTTCTACAGGTAGGACTACCTAATTTTCATGCCTAAAAAATGTACCATTAGATACCTAATTGATTGTTGTGTTCTGGAACTTATGTGTGTACCTGGACAAGCTTGGAGAAGATATTATGACCAACAGATAGGCTCTAGACCTTCCCAGGAAGGTCTAGACCTCCAAATCTTTGCTTTGGTAATGATACACCCTTCAATTTCATCAAGGCCCCCTCTTCTCTCACACATCTCCATCAAGGGTAAGTCAACACCATTTAGTATCTTGATCATTGACTCACATTATTTTGTAGTCATACCTTTTGTCCATCTTGTCCTGCTTCCTCACAACCACCACAAACACCTTCACAAAGTTCAGGAGCATCTGACCCCCCCAGGAGGGTCAAAGATCACTTAGTACTTCAATGGAGTTGTGCAGGGTAGACTGCCTGATTAGGTCAGTCATTGTCTACCCTGCAATGCTTACCTTACACTAACAATACCCTTTCTATGTTAGAAATTGCCTCTACAAGAAACAGTTAGCTTGATCTCATTCAAAACCACTTTGCTTACCTTGCTCTTGCAGCCACTGAAACTCTTTTGTTTGCTCATCCTTCCTCCTCCTCCTCCTCCTCCTCCACCACCACAATGTTGACCACCACTAACTCGACGAAACCAGACCCCCCTAGGAGGGTCTAAAGAAGAACTTTCAAGCAAACATTTTAAAGTAAGTTCTCATATTGGTTGTGAGTCTTACTTACCTTTTCAGACAACATGCCTATCACCATCACCATGGAGCTCCCTGACACTCCTTACCTCATTGCTGCTGCCTCCATTGGTGCATTTGTTGGCCTGGCCTTCTGGGTTTTTGATGCCAGTCATGGAGGAGTTTGCAGCAGCATCATAGCTGCTGCAAGCTATATTTGGGAGGCAATTAAAGTAAGTATTCTCTCTTTCATTGTGCAGACTTGTACTTACCTTTTTAAGGTTGTTTGGGTGTGGACCTCTATGCAGGCCATCACCCAATTTGTGAAAGATCTTGCTGCCCTTCTCCTTGCTCTCAAACCTGCCCTTGATGCTCTTGCAAACATTCTGGAAGAAATGTGTGTGGTGGAGGAGAGGGGGAGGGCTTTGAGAGTAGGGGGAGTGGGAGTTGGAGTGTGAGAAGGAGTAGGAGCCAGAGTGAGAGGGATGGGATTGGGAGGAGTGGGAGGACTTGGGGCAAGGGCTAGGGAGTAGAGCCAAAAGGAACTATGCACTTATGCTTAAGCTGGATTGTTTTCCCGTCAGTCATTTCATAAGGTTTCTTTATTTGGACTCACACATTTTGTCCTACTAACTATTCTACAGGTCTCACTAGCTATTTCTCACTCTTATTGCTGCTTATGTAATTCATGGTGTGCATCATTTTGCGCAATTTCACAAAAAAAAGGTTGGATTTTTGGGGATGAATAGATTATCAATTTTGAAGATGATACTTAGCTTTAAAGACGAGAAATCATGGAAAAATATATGTCAAGGGCATGGTGGGGTTCATTTTTGGCTTGCATGAGAGATGAATATTTTTGGATCATAGCAGATACTGGCCATTAGGGCAAAATTGAGACTGAAAATTGGTTGTTGATTTCAATTTTATCACATATACATAATATAACTACATGTATGGAGAGCATGCAAAGGGAATTGTGTCAAAATGTTATTGAACGCTGCAGATAGAGCCATCAAAGGTCTCAGGAAAGGCCAAGATAAAGAACCCCATGTAATGTGGTAGCAGTAGTCTCTTTTTTTACCCTGCTCACCATCTAATTATTTATTCTCACTCTGGGCAATATGGGCAACAAAAAAAAACCAGATTGCTCACCTATCTTGGGCTCAGTGCAAAGAAGCAGCTTCAGCAGTCCAATGGACAGAAGAAACAGAAGGCTTGAAGACAAGATTGTCCAGACCTGTACAGCTAAAGCAGGTGGCAGATGGTGAATTGATGACAAAAACAAATGAGCAAAGTCAACCAAAACCCCAGCCACTTACCAGATGCAGCAAAGTCAAGGAGATGGTTGTGGACATGGCAGGACTACCAGTGGGAGAGACTGGGGATGATCCATGCATGCTTGCACAGTTGACACAGTCCACCAACATGGACACTTGTGCAACAACAAATGCTGTGACAGCTCAGTCATACACTCTTCTGTCTGATCTTGTCACTCCTGGCTGGAATAACAGCACCATGTGGAGCAAAGTAGCCAGCTCTACTCCAATCACTACCACAACAAATCAGCCAGTCAACTTCAATGACACAAGCCTTGTCCTTCCGTCAGGAGTAGATAATCTTCAAGCTGTGATCAAGGATTTACACAAGTGAGGTGTTGTCACTTGTGATCAGGTTGAGAACAGCATCACATCAGAGCCGACTTCCTTAGTCCTGGCAACAGACCCATTGCCTGAGAAGTATCACACCTTGAAGCAGAAGGCAAGACAGTTGGAGTTGAGTGAATCTTCCCATGATGATCTCACTCAAGAGATGTTCAACAAAACAAGGGACTCAGCATACTTGGAGGGCATAGAGAATGAGGCTGAGGAGGAGGAGGAGGAAGACAAATCTGGCAAGTCTGCTCATCCCCTGTTTTTGGATAAGTGACTGAGAACTCATCTCTTACAAGATTACAGTGGGATCAGCTGCACAAATATTCCAGCTCCCTGCTGATAAGGGGTTCAAGGCCTTGTGGAATGCTGTTGGCAAACTCCTTGATCTTTTTCCCAATACACTTAGCCTCACATACATTCTCTCAACATCCCATGTGAAAGAGATTCCTGTCCTTCTCAAATCAGCAAGCACTTTCATTGAGATGGTACAACAATGGCAGTGCAGTACACACAAGGAAGAAATGAAGGCTGAACAAACTTACACATGTCTTGAAGGCACCTGGAAGAAACAGTGTTGCAAGGCTGCAGAGCTGGGTGCCAAGGCACCCAACAAGCCCAAGAGGCCAGCTCCCATTATGGTCTACATCATTCTTTCCAACACTTCCAGCATAGCCCAAGATGATAAGAGCAAGGACAAAGTCAAGGGGAAGGGGAAAGGAAAGGTGTTGTTATTAGCCTTTCACATGTACCTCTCATTGACTGCAAGCTTGTAGAACCCAAAGAAGTCCAACTCTCCTCACACAAGTCTTGAAGAGCAAAGAAAGGGGTTAGTGAGCAACAGCAAGCAGTTTTGTCTCCTGAAGGCTGAAAATCATTGTCACCAGTATGGACAAGCTGACATTGTTCTCCCTGGTGGGGTGCATTGGGATCCATCGGACCAAGATTGGTCCTTCTGGAATCTTGCTTTGGTTAGTAACAAGATTCTCATTTTGATGATCCTTCAGTCCAGGAAAGTGCCCAATGTTACTGAAACAGAACCCCCAGGCAACATCATGGACAAATGGATAACCATAAGTGAAACTTGTCAATCTGAAGGGCCCCTTTGCCAAGCCACTTGCCCATTGAAATGCCAGGCTGTGGAGTAAGTGGTTGCTTCACCAGGTTCTCAGCAGTTCTATTCCCACATACCTGTGCAGCCTCTATCTCCTCCTTGGGCAGGACCTATGTGGGCCCCCCCTAGTGGGTTTCAACCCTTTGCTTTTCCTATGCAACCCACCGGAATCAAGGATGGAATTGATGTCTCGATTCCATCCCCTCTGCTCAAGGAGTGGTTGGAGAAGTCTGTGGATGGTAATCCCCAGTGGAACTCAGATCAGCATAACTTTTCTCAATACTTGGATGCCTTCATCAAAGCTGGTTTGTATCACCTGGGTGAGCTGGCAGCAGTAGGAAGCATGGACAAACTCCTTGACACCTACCACTTGAGCAAACCCAAGGAGAGGATGTTGTGCGGCACAGCAGTGGTGCTCCTCAACTATGCCAGAGTGGACTTCAAACAGCTTTGCCATCAAGCAAGATGAACCAAAGCAGCATGGCCCCCTGTCTCACACTCACATCCAGATGGGAATGCCAATGTTGATTTTTGTCTATAGATAGTTAGTAATGCATTATGTCCTTCCACAGGCAATTAGGCAACTGGAAAGACAGTGATATTCATTCTACCTAGGGACATGACATACATACATGAGTGATCCACAGTATGTCAATGAGTGAGTGGGAGGCAATGACAGTGGGTGGGCAGGCCCCATAGGCAAGAAAGATGACAACAGGCCCAAGCTACATCCTCCAATGGTTGCTGCACAACAGGCAAGTATGAGCAGCAATTTCTTGTTGACAGGTGGAAAGGATGGGATCAGTGGGAAGGCCATTTTGCTCATTGAACAGATGCTGGAGACTGTGGTCCACTATCTTTTGCACAGCCTGTTCCAGTACATTGCCAGCAAACATGTGTTCATCCTCAGGCAGAAGGGGCACCATGTGGTTCTGGGTGGCGAGCAGGAGGGATTCAATCTTTGGAGCATGGAGAGTTTTAATGTTCTCAGGGAAGCAGCTGATTTTGCCTAATTGCAGATGAGTACAGTGCATCCACATGACACTAATGCTTACAAATTTGCTCCCAAGTGTCCTGGAAATTTGCAGGAACAATCAGTCTTCTTTCCTCTCCAGGTGGGAGGTCTGGGAGAGGCCACTTTTCATGCATGAAGAACTTTCAGAGTGCTGCGGCTGTGCCTGCATCTATGGGGTGCCAATAAGTCATGAATGCCTTGTGCAGCTCATACCAATCCAGACTGGTCATGAGTGTGGGAAAGTATGCTTGTGATGGGGCCTGGGCATCCAAAACCTTGACAATGACAGGTTCTATGCACAAGGCCTGCCCTGCAGGGGGGCCCAATCCAGCTCAGATCCCTGAACTGCATTGATGCCTGAATGATGTCAAAGTATTTATGGAGCAGGGGGTTTGCCAGAGGGGCTGGCTCCTGGAATGCCCCATCTTGCACACAGAGGAACCACTGAGTCCCTGGCAACATGTGAGCCCACAAGGAGTCCAAATCAATTGGGCACTTCACACCATTCCTGACTGCATCCATCTTCATGGTGTAAACATAGCCAAGGATGTGACACATCTCATTCATAGTGGCAATCAGGTGGAGGGGACAAAGCTCAGCTGCAAACTAAACCTGTTTGAGAGCCAGGCAAACAAGTACAGATGTGTGCTTACATAGCAGATGTACTTGTCATGCAAGTCCTGGTTTTCATCCCAGGTAATGCATGTGTTAGCAAGGAGCATGGCAAACATGGGGGGCTGTTCTCCTTCAGCTTGCATACCAGTGCCTTTCGATACATGCTTGTAATGGAGCAGGACCCACCATGCCACCTGAGATTGCAAATCAACATCCAACAACCAATGTGAGTTTTAGATAGAATACCTCTTTGAAGACATGCTCATACTCATCAATGAGCCTCACAATCATCAGGACAATGCATGGGGTGAGGATAATGGTGGTGGGGTATTCATCAAAGAACATTTGGACCTTGGCCACCCACTGCTTGCCATACATATAGTGATTGTCCGGTAAAACCAGAGCAGTCTGCATGGGGTCAACAGGGTTGTAAATCTCATTCAGTGCCTTGATCAACATAACAGAATAAGGTATCAAGTAAGCCTCATTCACGTTATGTTGAGGGTTATTGGCCCATGCCTTGAATTTGTCAAACCACTGGAGAAAAATGTCTGAGCAGATTTTCATGAAGTGCCAATCCATGATGGCATCATACTCAATGGTGATGGCATGTTCACCAAAGCAGTATGTGGAATGTTTACAGAAATACTTTGTCTGCCAAAACATGTACATGTAAAAGATCTAGGAAGAGAGTCAGTATCTGGTGCATGTGAGAGGGAGTGCACACACATCATGGCCCTCTGAGTTCCACATATCCTTGAGCATGTTGAAGCTGCACAGTTGTTCCCAGGCTGGGAACTCCAACACCCCACTGATAACAGCAATGAAGATATCATCATTGAACACCCAAATGGCCCCAAGATATTTGCCGAATGTTGCAGTGATGAGCGTTTTGTTCTCATTGTGGGTGTAGTTTGCAGTGTTGTGGATGTCCACTGCAGTGAACCAGATCTCAGAGGCAGTAGGTGGGTGCTGATAGGCTGTTGAGTTGGAAGCCAGGGAATCAAGCAGCAGGCAATTGTCTGGGTGCATGAGGTCCTCTAAGGTATTATCAGTGCAAGTCTCAGGCCCCAGTACCCAATGTACACACCAGTGAAAAAGATCTGCACATACCACCAGGGATGCTCATTGTGCAGCTCCTTGCAATGCACACAATAATACTTCTGGCATGCTTGGATTTGTAAAATGCTGGTGACCATGGTTACTTGGGAGTTGAGCCTGAACTGAGCATATTTCTTGAGGCTTGCTTCTGAGTTGCTGGCAAGGACATTGTGGGCAATGTCATTCCAGTTGATAATGTTGTTCCTGGAGGTTTGCAGGACAATGGGGAACTTGCAACATTGCATCCTGATTGTATGGAATGCAGCTGCTAGGTTGTTGAGGGTGCTCTTGGTGTTGCCAGCACTTTGAGCCATAGGATGTTTGCATGAAAAGTCTTCTTCATTACCCACCGGGAGTATGACATGAACCATCATCTTCAGCAAGTGTGTTTTGAGCTCATCACTCTGTTCCAGCCTGTCCCAACTCTTGAGGGTGACATTCTTGGGTGAGTTCTACATGAAGGGCAAGATGAGGACTTCATTTGTATACTTGGATATGATAAACTCACCCAATCATCATCCTCCCCAAGGCCATCATCTTCATCAAAATGGTCTTCTCTCTCATTGGGAATAGCAAGGCCTGGATCATCCTCCACTGGTGGGGCAGCACCGCATCCACACACATGCCCACTTGCACAACTGCAAGGGCAACCATGTGGAGGCATGGTTACTTATTGATCAGTTGGAGCTGGACAGCAAAGATTGATTGATGAGATGGTGGTTGGACTTTGAGATGAGGAACAGGTGGGGAGGGTAATTGACAAGGTGGTGGTGATTGAGGAACACATTGTAAGAGGCTGGCAGACGTGAGGCAACCACGCCCAAACAAACACATGAAAGCACTCAGAAATTCTGAAAAACACTCACTTATGTAACAACTGACTGCACATACATGAAGGTCAACAACAAAGGTATCCAACCACCTGCCCATTCCATTCCCTCATTGCTCCCCACATGTCCTGAGTGACAATGCAAGCACATATACTGACATGAGGAATTGACAAAGGGATTCCTATGCTGATTCCTGAACTGGAAGTCACTTGATGTTGATAGAGCAGTTAAGCATGGGGATGAGCATGCTCACCATTGATGTGTTGGGTTCATCCTTGTGCCAGAGGGCCACTAGCTGATGTCAGCATATGCCACAAGTCACAGGAGGGAGAAGAGGGGATGCACCCTCTGGAATCACCATGGTGACTTGTACTTGTCCTTGTTGCATTCAGCAATGATCCGAGTGTATTCACTTATGGCTGCATTGCATGGGTTTTGGGGGAGGAGGGAAACAATGTAGCCATCATCCTCAAGGGTGCCAAATTCATCTGACATAGATTTGGTGGTGGCAAGGGTTTCATTGATGAGTGTGCCCTTTGAAATGGGCTGAGAGGTAGAGAGGGAGGAGGTTTGAGACGACATGGAAATGTGATGTGTTTGCAAGGAAGATGGTGAGAATGAAGATGCTGACAAGTGTGATAGTGATGGTATGGAGGGAAGAGATGGCTTGCCTCTGATGACATGGCATGACCATAATACTCCCAGACCCATCATGTGATTGTTGTCTACATCACATGAACATCATAGAAAAAGGAATGTTCACCAGCCCTTACTGCTTTTACTTTGTGTTGCATCCATCCAGGGATAAATTCTGACATTGATTTTACATACAGCCATAATCCTAGTAATACCCACATTTTTGATACCAGGCTTGTGCCTGCTCTGGTGGAATGGCCCAAATCAACTCATGAAGTACCTCATACACATCAAAATTGTCCCAACTGCTCATTGCACTCCTCAGAAGAAAATCATTGCATTTGATCATGCCCTTCAGTGCCAAGAAGAGAAGTTCAATCAGATTATAGTCAGGGGAGTATGTTGGCAGGTACTCCAGACACATTCCTCTAGCTCAAGGTCAGAAAGTCACATAGGCAGCACTGAGCAAACTCACTGAGCTTTGACCATCTCCCAAATAAGCTCTGATTGATGGATGTGACAGTTGTCCATCATGAGCACAGATTCCTTTCCAGGATACAGGTTCATGTTCTTGAGCAACCCATTGACAAACTCAGCAAACATGATAGCATCAAAGGATCCCTTGACAATTTTAAGCCAGATAGTTCCCTCAATGGACAAGGCTGGGAGGATGGAGTATCTTATATGTATTAGTGTATTGTTGGGAATTCAACAGGGTGTTTGCATACCTTCTACCCCTCACAAAAAATGACAGTTTCCTCATGCATGTTCCTTGAAGAGCCCAGCACTTTCATCAACAAATACAAGCTGTTCAGGTGTGTACAACAGGCCCATGTGGTACTTGAATTCTGCATGCTTCTCTTTGCTCTGCTCAAGAGCAGCTTTAGGTATCTGTTGGATGCTCATCAAGAGATATTTACACTGTCAACCAAACATGCCATCTTACCTGCTTCATGATAATGTTCATCCTGGCAAGATAGTGTGACAACATTACTTCAGTTATCTTGATGTTTTGTAACTTTTGCAGCTCATCCACCAGCTCATCCAAGTATTGGTCTGGTGCTCTTTGAATGACACTGTACAACACCTGCAAATTGATCAGATGTGATAATGTAGTGAAACTAATATATTACTTACTGCCTTGTCCTCCTCATTCAGCATGGGTGGCCTTCCAACCAGCTTAGATGGTACCAGGGCAACGGTGCCAAACTTGTGATGGTATTTGATGATTTGTTGTACAGTGTGTTTGGCGACTCCAGTGTAGTTTACAATTTCCTCCACAGGCAAGACTAGGGTCATCCTGACAATGACATCTTGCATGTCAGGAGACAGGTGTTTGCCGGTCATTGTTGTGAATAGAGAACATGTACACCCTGACCTGGTCCATTGGTGACACATGTGGCAATCAACCACAGATGGAACATGACACACCACATCCCCTCATCACTCTTTGCCACAACAAACTATCCCATGCCCTGGAGTAATGTGACATAAGTACTTTTGACTTGTTCAAATGAAATCAAGGTTGAAATTTCAGTGTTGGTTCCTCCCAGATGGTACATTGTGATCCACTTCAGTTCCAAGTTTCAACACAATTATGAGCCTAGTAATGACCACAGTGCCCTCAACATGCTCATTTCAAACATAATTTTTCTTTACTGCTTGCCATAATATGGAGATTTGAGTTTGTTATCCCTCCCAGAAAATTTGATGATTTTTTGTGAAAAGTCTTGCAGGTGACATGCACCATGAATTATGTAAGCAGCAATAATCTGTCTCATTCTCAATGTCAAATAGTTTTTCTGGGCTGTTTTGTGCCACTTTGGTCACAAGCCTCTCAGGCTCTGTCATCCCAAGGACTCACACTCTGTATCAATGGGCCTAGTACCCAATAATGTATGTATCAATATTATTTCATTATCCACATCACAATCTGTCCCTAAAGTCTGGCTAAGTCCTCCTCTCATCCTCCTCCTGCTAAGTCATCTCCTGCATGACTTCCCTTACTCACCCTCTGCAGGCCCTCAAGCATCTTCAGTATCATAGACTGGTTGATATAGCCTGACTTGGTCTACAATGCACCAGTGCACACAAGAATCCTGCAAGCATCCAACAACCGCCTTCACAATGCTCAGGTTGAACAGCTGGCTAGCTGCAAGCTCTACAAAGGCAAGGGGTGAGCAGGGAGGAGAGGGATCATTGTGAGGCTTGCAGGGCTTGATCAAGGCAAGCTGCAAGCATTTAAGATTGAGCTGGAACACTAGGATGTGTTCCAGCTCACCATACAAGATGCTGGGGGGATTGTATCTGTGCTTTGCTTGTTGGTACTGCACAGGTAAGTCAGTATGATTCCTGATATGTGTGCTACATACTTACTCAAACATAGGTCATATCTTGAGCATGGGAGTGCCTCAATCCCTGGGCAGCATGTACTGTGTCATCAGGCCCAGGGATTCAAGATTTTCCCCACTGCTTGACTTCTTCAGGTACAAGAGCTCAGGCTTGTGGAGGCCGAATGCCCAGATACGCAGCCAGGTAAGTTGCAAGCTTGTTGTGCAGTGCCTGCTCTACTGACAACACTGATTTAGGGTATAGTAACTCATAAGGCTCTTCCTGGCCCTCTTGGAGCTGACTACCAGGTCCAATTGCTTGGGGCTCAAGCTCTGAGAACTTCAAGACAAGATGCTGCCATTGACATCATTCCAGCATTGCACGGTCAATCCCTGGGTAAGGATTTCTTCTTCCTGTGACTGTACACTGAAGGAGTCCACAGAAATGCTCCATTGGGAATGCCCAAGTTGACCAGATTGGCCCCACCCACTCAATGCAATCTGCAACATGCAAGAGTGAGTGGATTGTAACTGGGCATAACCCTACATGAGCTGGCTGACCCTTGAAGTACAGGGCCTCATACTTCAACACCCATTTGGCCAGATCATTCCTGAGGTGTGTGGAGAAGTTGGGAGGATAAGAAAAGGTGAGGCACTTGTTGATGTAGATGCTAAGGCTAGCCAGGTGTGTATAGAAGTTCTTGTTGGCAAATCAGTTGGCTAACACGATTGGCACCAGGAGAGTGATCCAGAGCATCCAAGACTCTGTGATGAACTCATACCACTTGGTCAGTGGATTGGGACCTTGCCTCCCAAATGCACCAGGTATGGTCTTACCACTCTCCTTGACTTGCAGAGCAATTGCTGACATTGCTGTAGGTTCCAGGACAAAATCAGCTTCAGCTGCATCTCTGTGCTTGCTCTCACCAGCCCAGAGCATGAGAAGATGCAGCACAACGTTCTCAAACACCAAATGCATGAAGTCCAGGGGAAACAACCAAGGCCAGCAAATGCTTCCAAAGAAGTGCCAAATGCTGTCACCCTTCACCCCAGTATCCTGAGCAATTCACTCGGCTTCAGCTTCAGAAGGTGTGTGCAAAATTCTTGCTGCAGCTTTGCTGAATGGCTGATGAGTTTGCATAGGCAGAGCTCAAGGATCATACTGTGCTGGTATACCTTCCTGGGAAGGTCTAAAAGCACTGTGATCCAAAGGTATGTAGCTCCCTCTACCATCAGGAGCATGTACTGCAGCAATCTCACAACTTTGGCAGGGCTTGAAGCCATTGTGGCCTTTGAGGTTCATCAGCTTTGAGACTGCTGGCATGTCCCCAAAAAGGAAGATCAGGTGAGCTCACAAGGTGAACATTTCACTCTTGCAAGCATCCCAGCAACTGACTCCTTCTGCCAGGCTGACCAGCACCTTCACCAAAGGGAAATGGAAGGAGTCTGGGTCCTTCATCTGCTTGGGACCCAGAATAGCACAGCTGGTGAGGATATTTGAGGTGAGCATTTGTTCTTTGGGGGGGAGACTGTAATTGATGAGGATTGTAGGCCAGCAAGTGGCCGTAGTCCTCTTGAATGGAGCAAAACCATCAAAGGAGAGGCCCAGGGCAATATCTCGAGGTGAGTCGAAGTACTTCTGCTCAAGAACATGCCCACTGATCTCAATGTAGGACTCCCTGAGCTGAACTGAGCTTTGAGCTGAGGGACAAGGGGCAGATACTGCCAGAGATGATGAGGAATCCCATTGGGGCCATAGTGGGCTTTGTTACAATGCAGGCAATGCATTAACTTGGTATGTGGGCCCGTATAGGCCAGGCAAGAGTTCACACAGCATTGGTATTTGACTGACTTCATTCCAGATATCCATTCAATGCATTTCTTCACTTCAGCAAGCCTTGGGAACTGCTCTGGGAATCCCTGATGCAAGGTATCATATTGAGCCATCGTAAGTCTTCCTTTCATCTTGATTCAAAAGGCTTTGAAATGAATCTGATCTTCATTTGACAGATATTCTATCCTATGGTAAGCTATTTACAAGGCCTGAGAATGCCTAAGCATACCAGGGATTCCATGGAGGGATTCCATGGAGTTCCTGCTGGAGTTCATCATCCTCTTTCCTCCTCCTTCTCCTCCCGCAGCACCCTCAGTACCTCCTCCCAATCCCTCTCCCTCTCCTTCTTGGCCACCTCCTGCTCTTCCTCCTCTTCCTGCACCTGCCAACCATGGGACCTGGATGCCATTGGGATAGGGAGTGGGAGGGGAGGTGCAGAGTTGAGGACCATGGCATCTGCATGGTCCTCTATGACATCTTGGTGAGATTCCATGACCTTGACTGATTCCAGTATGTCCTGGACCTTCTTGAGATGCGTCCACTGACATTTCTTCATAGCCTTGACAAGTGAGGCATTATGCTTATCCTGCATGTGGTGTGCACAGGTAGTTTGAGTTAAGAACTTGCTGCAACTGCAGTGGCATTGGTATTTTTGCCCTGCAGGCATGGTCAAGGTAAGAGAGCAAATCCAGGGGGCTGAATCTATGTGCTGACGAGTCCTTTTGCATTTTTGGGGTCATTCCAAAAAGGCAATATTTGGTTCTGGACAATCTCTTTGGTATGGAGCTTTTCCTCTCCGTCATGTCCTGATGCACTGACCTACAGTCTTTAAGCAGCATATAACTACCATGGCCCCCCTCCCTCTCCCTCACCCTCCTTCTTCCCTCCCATGCTCTTCTCCAGCTCTCCAAGTGCTCTTTCCCCAGTTTCTGCAGCATCCCTTGCCTCCTGCACTTTCCCCAGCCTCCCACCCAGCCTCCCACCAAGCTCACCTTTCCCTCCCACTCCTCCTCCTCCTCCTTCTTGCAAGATGCCCCCCCCATAACAAGAAAAGCACAACTCTGGGTGTTCCCACTGACCTTCCTGAGAAGGTCAGTGGGAACCAGCCTAAGCCTGCAACCAAGAAGGCATGCCCACCTCCCAAGCAGCAGCAGCAGCAGCAGCAGCAGCCCTTGATGCCCAAGGCTCCTGGCAAACATGTGCCTGAGACTCAAGATGTTGATGCACTTGGTCTTGACAAAACCATGACTGATGCACCTCACAAGCATGTCAAGAAGCCAGCCAACCCCATGAAGCAAGCCGAGAACATGGTTGATGTTGCCAAAGAGACCACTAAGGTCTCCTGGAAGGAGTGAACCAAGGAGCTCAAGGAGCAGCTGGCCAAGAGTAATGCCGAGCTGCTTCTGGTCTCACATAAGTCCTCTTTCTTTCTGGTACACCTTACTCACCTGTATGCAGAGGCATTTGATGAAGTCAAGGTGCAGCTCAATGAAGTCAAGAAGAAGGTGCCTGCCATGGAGGACCACTCCTCCATGATACTGAAGCCTCCTGGTCAAGCAGGATGCAAGACTCAAATCAAGGACAGCAAGGTTATTCAGCTCAGCTTTCACATGAAGACAGAAATGAAGATTGACCCAAAGATGTACAATTGGCTTGTTGTAAGTACATTAATCTATTCTACAGTCTATACTAACTCATCTGCAGTATGAAATCAAGTCCTACATGCACAAAATGCACATGAAGTGGTTGGTCTTGTACTGCTCCCAACCTGCCCACAAGATTGCAGAAGTCTGCAAGCTGGTAAGTTCTCCATCCAAGCGAGAACATTCACTTACCTTTGTCTAGGCTCAAGAACAATCTCCCATCCTCAACCCTACATTGATGATTGGGCAACGTTAGCCATCATCAAGCAAGCCTTGAGGAACTTTTGACAGAAGATTTGCAACAAACAGAAGTGCAGGCTATTGCTGGGCTGGAGCCAGAGGAGCCAAGGGAAGAGCCTGGGCATGATGAGCTCAAGCAGGAGAGGATGAGGGCAGATGAAGATGAGGAAGCAGAGATGAAGAACAGTGATGAGGATGAGGATGAGGATGAGTAGGTAAAACTACTACTATTAGTAGTATATATCATTAGCTGATGAACCTGGACTGAGCACTAAACCTATGTATCTACAGTAGTTAGAGTCTATGAATACAGTATGTTACACAGTAAACAAAAGTTCAAAAAGGACTTGAATGATGTGAAGGGGGCCATGGAGAAAGTGCCTTGGGCACCTTTTGTATTCTGATAATAATATTTAATTAACTATCTAAAATATTTTTACTAAGTCCTTGCCTGCTACAAGGCAAGGACTGATAGTTCCCACTATCTACTTTTTGGGAGTCCCCCACATCAGCCAAGCTGGGGACTTAGTTGATGCGGGGTAGGTCCCTCAGGTACACCCATGACACACCTTAGGGACCTCTCTGAGGACTTACACGGAGTCCTTCCACTGAACCCTGTGACGACTGGAGAAAGTTCCGCCATAGCCGGCGCACATGGTTTCCACAAATTCTCCCTCGGGGCGTTGGTGTTATCTTGATCCTCCACATAACTGCATTATCCAAGGTAATATGTCGGTTCCAAAGGTCCGTGCATCCAACGGATACATAGAACATATTCAAGCGCTTGTCCAACCGAGGGAGCGCTTTGCGCGTAGCCGTATGGAGCAACAGAAAAGTCGTGCTCCAGTCCAAGGCGGCCCAGGCCTGCATCCTCTAGCTATGCGTGGAGTATCTGTGATTATTGGATGGCAATCAGTTAACCCGACGGTGTTCTACATGGCTGTGCCATTGAACGCAAGGTTGGCATGCATTCTAGATAAGCCCAATCGCCCCACAAATTTGGCATATGCTCCAAATAAACCCTCCATCAATGATATTCGACTCAATATGGGTTCGGGTGAGTTGTCATTTGTTCCATATCAGCAACGCGAAGCCGAATGGCTGACATTAACAGCGCAACAGGCTCGGATGCGCTGAATGGTTGCTGCTCCACCACAAACAGCACCGACAAACTCTGGTATGAGACGTGCGGCGACGATCTGAACAAATGGTCAGAGGGGAAATCCCCAATCTGACGACTAACTCACCGATGGTGCATGAGGGATTAAGCTATGTGGGTGTTCTATTGCAACTGACGTTGACCAATCGATACCGTGTCATAATTTCAGATCATGCGCCTGGTATCGAAGAGACGTTGTTATGCTGCTCATGCTGCTTTTTGTGCCAGAAAGTCTTGAGCTGCAGAGAGGCGTACTGCAAGAGGACATCGAATCGTCTCACGTCTTTTGGATATGCCACTTCTTTGATACCAAATTCATCACAGCTGGTGCGGAGGATAGAATCACGACGTGATAAGAGGCGACGGAGCTGGCAGCCTCGAGATCAAGAGCAGAAGTGCCTGCAGCATATATCACGTCCGACTTGTGGCTGATCGACCCAGTAGCATCATTGGTAGCAGCAGTCGCGACCGTCATTTCTTGGAAAGCAATCTCTTCTCTGAGTCGGGTGAAGTGGAAGAGTTCTCCCAATCGAGTTGTGTTGAAGGTAGTGAACGTCTGCCGTGGGACGTGTCGGTTATAGTCGTCCAGATCTAATGCCAGTTTCAAGTAACGCATGACGATCGTTACGATAACAGCAATATTGCAGACAAGCAAAGAGACGGACATTTCGATGAAGGCGAGTAGTGCTTCCTTGACAGGATCGTCTTCCAGAATAAAAGCCGCATGAACCAAGGACACGAAAGAGATGAAGATGGAGGATGTGAAGACCGCTACCAAACGTATCCGAGAGCCCTCGCGAATAGAAGCGCGTCGAAGCAAGTAGATGGGAATCGATATGAGGGTGACGTCGCTCAATATATCGGCTGACCGACACGTTTCAGCAGTGATTTCATCACACGATAAGATTACCCACTGATCAATTGTGCAATGGCGACTTCTCGTCCCAGCGGGCACTGTGTGTTCACATCGTCCTGCATCCAACCGTCCGGATTTGCCAAGCATGTCCAGAAGACTTGGGCAAAGAGGATCACATAACAGACTCCGAACGCGGCGGCAACGCCAAATAGTAAGCGCTGAGCATTCTCAGTCGGTGCCACCCGGATTACTGTGAAGAGGATGGAATATCGTGCCATCCATACCGCACTGGGGAACCCAAGCGCGAGGACAAAATACAATCCCAAACGGAGAGAACGCGATTCGGGGACTGTTTAGCAATGTCAGCAAGTCGACGACAAATTTCTTCAAGGTGCTTACACGCAGGCGCATTACGAGACCAATATGCAGCAAACACCAAGATCAAGGATATCATAGATAACGCTGCAAAGGCCTCATCCCACCATAGTCGTCGGTATACCTTTCGGTCAATTAATCGAACTGTGGTAACCAGCCAAGCAAGCGTTGAGGGCGCGATGATCGCGACTGCAAACAGTCACGTCAACACGACTGCATAGCACTGAGTTTTTGAAGCTCACCCTGTACAACGGATACTGTCAAATTCGTTGACATGACATGTCCAACAAAGAGCAAAGCTCATCGAGACAAATTTGGCAGTATAGGCACAAGTTATAGCCCTTTTATTTCTGCTCCAGTTGCGAATCACGTTCTCCTGGACCCCTGCATCAGTGGTCTACACTGAGGCTGTGATCGCCGTAAGGGAAACAATACAGTTGATGATTGATGAACAGTCAGGCCCGAGAAGAAAGAGCGCTGGAATTTCTGGTATCGTCATGTATTGTTACGAGATGGTCGTGCCTGTCGCTTCAGGTGGAACAAGAAGAGGCCGCTCGAGCCGGGCGGCCCCGAAGTGTATTTGCGCTGTAACATAGACTATTTTTGAATAGACTTTTGGTGCCAACGGATGTGGAGAGCCCCGATAATTCCCTTTTTCGTATTATGCCAGCGGATGAGGGGCGTAAGCATTCCGAGATGGTTGTATGGCGATTACACCTCGGGGTGTCTATCGCTAATGTTGCTGACAGTAAGCACTGAGCTGGTGCACTTGTTCGTGGAACGTGTGTTATCCAGCTGATAGTACGAGCATATATAGTGCGGCATCCTTTGGGTACACATAAGAGATCATGGTGGAGAGTAAAGCAGAGTGCTTCAATTCTTTCGACGCGACAAGTTGAATCCGTCTCAACCGGCGCACCAGCAACTGGCCTTGACCGAAATGCTGTCTTTTCAACATTGATGTGCTCTTCGCAGGAGCCGAGGGCATGAGGACTTCCGCAACTTGCACGACTATTAATGTCCACACCATATCACATTCAGCTGATCAAGAACCGCCTTATTCGCATTGGTGCGATTGACAAGCCCAAGCCGACTTCAATAGAAATTACCCGCCTTCAGCGTATTCAGACATTAGCGCTTTTCCGTTCAGCACTCAGAGAAACAAAGAAGATCAAGCATGACACTCATCTTCGGGACTGGTTTTTAGAATGGTTCAGATCCAGCTTCAAGAAGAACAAACAGGTTGCGAGCGATGAGTTATTACGGACGAAGCTGAAAAGGGGGGCACGGGTGCGCCCTGGTCTATTTGTCCCCTAATCCATGTGTTGAGTTTTCTTCAGGAACTTCGTTGTATTCGCAACTTGAATGCCGGGTCTATCACAGATCTCGACCGTGCTTTGAAATATGCTTATGCGCGAGTCGGTCCATCTCGCCATGAGATCATGCAGCGCATTCTGTCGCAACCATCTCCACCCGCCCGACATCTAATCAAGAACGATCCAAGAGGGTCTTTGCCCCGATATCCCGCACTGCTAAGACATCTTCTCACCAATCAAAGCATCAATACCGAATCACCGGTTGATATGAGCAAGCTGGTTCGGCCCCCAACGTTGCCTGATCGTGCTGACCCGACCTCCGAGGATGCCCATCTCCTTGGTCCTCTTCCGCAGAGGAGAGAGAAGAACATTCATTGGCGATATTACAACACTCTACTTAAAGACATACGCATGCCTCTCGGTTCTGTTGGTGGACCATACGACGTGGCTGGTCTGGGTACGGATACATTTTCCCGACTAGAGCGCTTGGCAAAAGGACATGGAGACGACGGCAGTAAACTCGGTAGGGCTATGAAGCGCGCATATAGACGCATATTGGGCATAACACCACACACGAAATACATCGATGATCCGAAAGGCCCTCCCGATCGAGACGAGGACCGTCTTGAGCACCCCGAGGTGCACGATGGCGAGAATGGCACTGAAGATGGGAAACAAAGTGCTACTCTTTCCGCTCGCAACTACGTCACTCGTATTTCGCCTCTTGCCGTCCAGCGAATTGGACGGTTTAACGGCCCCTCGAATCCTCATACCATGCCTGTCGCAGCGGAAAAGTGGGTGCAAAGGGCGCTGCAGGCGGATTTTGAAGAGCAGCAGCATTTGCGGGAAACAGCGCGAAAGCGCGTGATACGCAAGAAGATGTCCGAGAGAGCCTGGTTTGGAGGAGACGAGCTTCGGCAATTAGGAGCATTAATGGCTCCCGAGATCGAGCCAGAAGCGGAGACAGGCCCCGATGCGAGGGCACAGTCGCCTTCGTCGGTCAGCATCTATTGATATACCGGAAATCACTCGGGTGCTTTTGGGGGTGCTTTTGCTACATCTTCCCAGTGCTCTCAAACAACTAGCAAGAGATCAACGGAGTCGCGGGCAATTGATCCGGCCCGGCTCGCATGACTTCCGACCTTCGCGGCTTCTTCTCCACCGTCCAAGCATGGCATCCTCTCTTCCCTCCGTCCTTGAAACTTCGACATGAGGACTATTTTTGCTCCTTTATAATATCTTAATGGAGTTAATGAAATGCTAAGTGGAGCATTCGTTCATACATTTCTCATCGTTATAACCACGACTGCCGCACTGGCTGCTGGTGTGCCTGCGGATCCCAACGAGCATGTTTACGTCTCTTGCGGCCCTCTCGCTTGCTCTAGCCGGGTTAATCTCTGCTCAGCAGAGCAATGGCACTTGTACTCTCATTCCGTACGGCAATGGACGAGATGACTCACAACAGTTCATGGACACCATTAGCGCCTGTGACGTCATCACGTTGCCTCAGCCGTATACATACTCTATCCAACGGGTGCTATACACCAATCTGCAGGATAAGGTCCTGAATGTTTTGGGAACCTTGTCGGTGAGTCAGGTCTCGTCGTGTTTGAGGGCATGAAGATGATGGCGCAGTTCGACACTGATCTTGCCTACTGGATCAATAACAGCTACCCCATCGATTTCCAGAACCAAGTCACTGCGTGGATTGCTACGGGCAGCAATTGGACCATCAATGGCGGTGGATGGAATGCTGGTGGAATTGATGGAAACGGCCAGGTGCGTGTTAGCAGTCTTCCTAAGTAAGGATGCGCTGAGCCTCGTTCAGGCTTGGTACACCCGCGCTGCTGGATTTGGTAACCAGGCTGGTCGACCTATTTCTTTGTCTGTCATCAACGCTAGCGATGCTGTGATAAAGGATTTCAGCATTCGCCAGCCCCAGTTCTGGGCATTCTACGTCGATGTAAGTGCGAGAAGGCTGCATTGGTGCTGCGAATGTCTTATCTGCTTCCTTAGACGTCCAAGAACATCACCCTTGAGGGGATCTACGTTAACGCGACTAATCATGTAGGTTCGTCATGATCTGAAACTCTCTCGCTGACTTGTTGGAGGATCCTGCTGAACCCGTCGCCAACCCAAGCAATGGAAATAACGGTAAGCCATGTCAGTACTCGCATGTTCGGATTCTGATTATCACGTCAGGAAATAACTGGGTCGTTAACACCGACGGCATTGACACATATCGTAGCGACTCGATCGTCATCAAGGACTGGACTGTGCAAAACGGCGATGACTGTATAGCCTACAAAGGGTGCGCTTTAAGACTATCTTGTTGTCATCAACTGACCCCGCAACCCAGCAATTCCACCAACATTCAGGTCTACAATGTATCTTGCCATGGAGGACAGGGTATCGCCTTCGGCTCATTAGGGCAGTATCCCGAACGCGTCGACCTGGTTGAGAACATCTACATGTCCGATATCCACCTGCAGCCGTCAGTTAACAGGATGACCGGTGCGGTGTACTTCAAAGCGTGGGTTGGCGTCAACGTGGGTGGGCCCCCGCCTAATGGCGGTGGAGGCGGCACCGGGATGGTGTCGAATGTTTTGCTGGAAAACTTCATTTTCGAGGGGGTAGACGAGCCGCTGTATCTGCAGAGCTGGTTAGTTTGCTTACCTCGGATCTTCGCCCCTGTCTGATGCTCTTCCGCATGGTAGCTTGACGTACTCATCCGTTAATGTCGCTCAGGTATGTCTTTAGCATTCCGGTTGAAGGAAGTCTTTGACCTGTGCCACAGTACTGCAACACTTCTACTCTAGTCTTCCAGGATATTACAGTGAAGGACTTCAGTGGAACCACTTCTGGACTTAACAACGGCAGCGTACGCCCACCTGTCGCACTACATTCTTCTGAGACTGACCGGACCTCAGCTTGTGGATATTGTCTGCTCCCCATCCGCACCGTGCAAGAACTGGCAGTTCCTCAACTGGACCGCTACGGCACCTGGCTACACCGACGAGTACACCTGCATCAATACGGAGAATGTAGGAGGGATCCCGTGCACTTCTGCGCCTGTGTCGATTATTGTATGAACGAGAGTGGAATTACCAAAGTCTATTTTTCTTCAGTGCGCTCTGCCAAGACCGAGATGTATTGTGCTTTCGTGGGAACACACCTTTGAGCTCAACGTCCTTTGCGTAAGGGGAGCAAGCAGCGCACACAAAGTATTCAAACCTCGCTGGTTTCAAACGCAGCCTGGAGGCCGGCCGTTGTATGTCGTGGTGTTAGGCCAGTATAGTTTCAATCATGAAATTATCGCTGATGTAAGCATCAACCTGTCAGCGGCTATGAGAAGGTGAGAACCGATCATGGGCCAGCATGGGCCCTGAACCCCTGGTGGAGGTTTTTCCAAACGGCGACCGAGCTTCTTCCACTACCTGTGTCGAGTCGTCGATTAGGGGAGAATAGATAACGTGGCGTGGATTGGCCTGCCGCAGGCCAATCCGTCCCTATATACATATAGGCTACATAGATAGTCTAATGGAATCAAAGGTGCCTTAAGGCTGCGCAAGGGTTCTGCACTGCCACTCTTGGCGCAAACTCGACACCTGCGAAGGGAAGGTTGGTGTCCTCAGTCGAACATACCTTGTGTTGTGGGAAGATGTTGAGCCTGAAAGGGTTCGCCTGCCCATGGACACGCGCGTGGGAGGAGAGTGAACCTTGTATAAGAGCATGATGGACACGATACCCACTTCTGCACTATCAACGGACTTTCTAACTAACGTACTACCTTGCCTCGCGAAATGGGTCAAGCAATCTCCGAGATCTTCCCTCCAAAGCCTAGATGGCTGCCCGAGAACATGCCGGACATGACGGGCAAGGTCGCTGTCGTCACCGGGGGCAACACCGGTATCGGGAAAGTGACGTGCAAGGTGCGTCTCCTTG